ATCCAGGTGGTTGCGTGATGTAGACCTCCTCGTTCAACTTGCTATGCAGGAAAGCAGTGCGAATGTCCAACTGGTGCAGTTCCAGGTTGTACTTGGCAGCCAGTGCAAGGATCACTCGCGCAGAGGTCAACTTCACAACTGGTGAGTACGTCTCCATGTATTCCAAACCTGGAATCTGGCTGAATCCCCGTGCGACAAACCTGGCCTTGAACTTTGCTACAGTTCCATCAGGTTTGTACTTGACTGTGTAAATCCATTTCGTCACAAGGTGAGCACCTTCAGGTAAAGTTGTCTTTGTCATTGTATTGTTTCGCTCATGCAAATGCATTTCAGCATTCATGGCATGAGGTCCAGCTAATGCTTTGTCAACATTCGCTGGAATGGGGATTCGCTTTGGATTAGCAGCCACGAAGTTAGTCTGGTGTGTTCCTTTCTTTTTAATTTTTCCAAAACTAAAGAAGGGACAAGATTGCTCAGCTTCCAGTTGCAGCCGCAATGGTACGGGAACTCGAGCAGAGCGCCAAGGTTCAGGACGTGCTGGAGGGTGGATCACAGGTGGTGGAACAAGTGGAGAGTCTGGGAGAGCTCCCACTGAAGTTGGCAACCTGCTTCCAGCTCCCACTGAAGGTGATGATCCACGTCCAGCTCCCACTGAAGATGAGCCGAGGAAGAACTCAGGAGCAGCTTGAAATTCCTCGTCGCCCTTGAAGTAAGTGTTCATCAGCTCTTCAGAGAAGCTAGGTGTTCTCACTGGAGGAGCTTCTGGCAGAGGTGTAGCTGGAGGGTGTGGTGGCAGTGCTGGAGGAACCACCACGTTACCACCAGCAGGAGCAAGAGGCAGCAACGGGACTTGAGAAGGAGCTGTAGTCTCGTGAATTGTGTCCACCAGCTGGAGTTCCATGAAAGTAGGAGCAGGAACTTCAGCGCGATCCTTGTACAGCTTGCTCTCATCAAAGAGCACGTCCATCTTTGAGAGAATAAAGGTGATATCCTTTCATGCCTTCCAAATATCTGAGGAAAATGGATGGCTCAGCCTTTGACTCCAGCTTTCGGTGTTGCTTTTGTGGAACGTGTGCGTAGGCAAAACAGCCAAAAATGCGGAGATGATCGTAACCCAAGTGCGTGACTAGTCCAAAGTTCATAAGGAGTAGTCTTCTCAGGCAGGGCACGTGCTGGCAACCAGTTTCGAACATAAACAGCCGTGTTAACTGCCTCTCCCCAGAAAGCAGCCGGCATTCCCGCGTGAAGCAGCATACAGCATGCAGCTTCTATGATGGTGCGATTCACCCTCTCGGCAGCACCATTCTGGGCATGTGCATCAGGGACAGCATACTGGCGCTGGATCCCAGCTTCAGCACAAAACGTCTCTAATTCTCCAGAGACGAATTCTCCTCCACAATCACAGCGGAGCACATGAACTAAACAGCCGTGTAGATTTTCTACCAAAGCCTTGTATTGGCTAAAACAGGAGAATACTTCTGACTTGTGAGCCAGCAGGTACACGATCAGGTACCGCGTGTAATCATCCAGGAAGGTGACTACGTAACGTTTGCCTCCCAAAGATTCAACCATAATCGAACAAACGTCCGAGTGTACCAACTCAAGAACAGAACTTGCTCGAGAATGAGAAATCTGTGGAAAAGGAAAAACGTGGTGTTTTCCACCAACACAAGCTTCTCAGAAGGGCAGCGCGCTCCCAGGCGCCACAGGAACATCCACCTTTTTTAGCTGTTGCTCGTTCACGTGACCAAGGCGCTGGTGCCAGGTTGCAAGTGTCGGTGGAACCCGAGCCATCAGCGCCACAGGTGGAAGGATCACGTGAGCATCCAGGCGGTAGAGCGTATCAACTGGAACTCCAAAAGCGACCTTGTCTCCAGTCTCGGCATCCAGCACGAACGCTCCCTGTGCTGTGAACAGAGTATCGAAGCCTACTTGAGCAGCAGTTCCAATCGACAGCAGCGTGTGTGTAAGTCCCGGAACATAAGACACAGGATAGATCTCCCGGATTTCTCCAGAAGAGAGCTGAACCCTGATTGTTCCTTTGCCTAGCACGTCGTGAGCAGAGGAGTCACCGAGTCCCATGGCGTCACTCTCACACGGTTCTTGGTAGTCAAAAAACAAGGAAGCCATGGGCGTCATATGGAATGACGCTCCAGAATCCAGCCACAGCTCTGGTCCGAGCACGGGCTGGTGGCTGCTGCTTGCAGAGCGAGCCATCAAGAGCTTACGAGGAGTCCCAGAGCCCTTGTCTTTGTTTCCTTTGTCTTTGTTCTTGGCAGCTTTAGCACGATCAACTTTCTTCTTCTTGCAATCCCTCGCCAAGTGTCCAGGTTTGTGGCAATAGTGACAAATGCCACGAAAACCAGTGTCGTTCGGCTGAGCTTGAGAGGACGAGGATGATCCTCCCGCAGCGCCAGCATAAAGCAAGGAAGATTTGGCTGACCTTCATCTTGCGTTCCTCTTCAATTAGGGCACCCACGACGTTCATGGCCATGTGAGATAGAACAGATGCGAGCGTGCTAAACGCAGGCGTGACGGTTGCAAGCCGCAACGCCCTGGCGCGATCGTCCGTGACAGGAGACCCAATTCAGATATTAGCTCTCGAATCCGTCCCACGTACACATCAATGGTTTCAGTTTCCATGTGAAGCGCCAAGAATTGTTGATTCAGCAACATGGAAGAATTTGCGGTTTGGGCCACGAAGATCGTGCGAAGCGACGTCCAGATTTCAGCAGCGGTCTTGGTGAGATCAATCAGCGGCAAGAATTCATCGCTCAATCCCAAGCCAATGACGGTGATGGCTTGCTGATTGCGAAAATCCCAATCTGATTGTAGCGTCTGCTCAGCGGGACGAGGCTCAGTCCCATCAACGATGTTCCACGCTCGTTTCGCAGAGAGGATCAGCCTGATTCTTGTCGCCCATGTGAAGAAATTCGTGCCACTGAATTTCTCCACCTTCTCTGTGGAAGCCACGAGAACTTGAGCAGCAACCGGTGGCGGCGGCGGTGGTGGGGGCAGCGCCATGACAGCAACGTCAAATCAACCAACCACGAAATCCGATACCATGTTGTGATGTGAAAAGGGATGGTCATGAGCTCGTTCTCTTTTTACATGACTCAAGGGACATGACTCATGACCACGTGGACATGCCACGTCAGCTGATCGATACTACGTTCCCACTCTCTGTCAATGCTTTCGCCATTGGACGCGATCCAAGTATCTGGGAACGCCCCACAGAGTTCATGCCCGAGAGATTCCTTGGGAGATCAGTGGATTTCAAGGGCCAGCACTTCGATCTCATACCATTTGGATTGGGGCGGAGGATGTGTCCTGGGATGCCACTCGCATTGAAAGCTCTTGAGCTGCTCCATGGATTTTATTGGAGTTTCCCTCCCAGAGAGATCCAAACTCTAAGTCTCCTCTAAAACTCCTGGCAGATCCAAACTCTAAGTCTCCTCTAAAACTCCTGGCAGTTCCAAGACATTCAACGTCTGTTTATGCTACTGTTAAATAATGTGGACATGTAGACATATTTTCTAAAATAAACGTTGTTTCTTAATAAATCGGCAGGACTCATCTAGTGTGCTGTTCGCCACTGTTACCATGGAAGGCCTTCAGCAGTAGCTTGCTTTCAAGGCTTCCAAAGGTAATCGGCAGTGCAAGTTTACTTGTTGCTCCTCAGGCCTTTCTAGCTCCATGCTCTGGAAAGAGATGAGGTCGCGAATAGCGCATTGTATCATGCTGTTGACCACACCAATCAACTCCACAAACAAAATTCATACAATCTGGGCGATGGATTCATCTGAAATACCATGCAAGCAAGCAGCCATTTGAAATTTCTATGTAGTTCTCGCATTCTGCATTTTGCTTTACACACTGCCAAGGAAAAAAATGCCACTGCGGAGCTCCCCACGACATCAAGCCACCTTCACCAGCACGCCAACTGCCACCTTTTAGAATTTTCTTCTAGAGGATAAAGCTCTTGAATGACTTGGCATATGGATTTGATTGAAGCTTTTGGGGAGATCCAAAATCCTGATGCTTGCTTTGAGCTGTTAAAGTCTTGTGGGAGCAGTGGCTTGGTGGGTTCATTTATCGGTCACGCTATGACTGCCGACCTGTCAAACTTTTCAGCATGCATACGTAGGTAATAATCAGATGAAGTTTGTTTTTAAAGCCTAAAAATGGTCCAAATTAAAATTAAAAATTTATTATGCTAGTAATAATATAGTACATTTATTTATCACAAATTCCATGTTTTATTATGATTTTGAGAGTTGTGCACTTTAATGAAAATGGGCTTCTTTGGAGACAATGGTGCTTGGCACTAATCCTAGCTTTAAATACATGACTAGTCCACAGAGTGCTTTCCCAACAAGATGAATCCCATGAAGTTGTTATTGTTCCTCCATAAGGCAGTGAACCCCATGATTAGTTAGAAGAGTAGCAACAGAAGCAATGTCAACTCAGTTCAGAACACCATTACTTAACGTAGCGACACAAAGGGCTTTTGCAAACTTTGCTCAGTTAGTGTTTGTGATTTCGACTGATCCAGTAAGGGGTTATGTACCTTTTAATCCAGCGAAGTCTAATTTCTTGGCGACTCACCATCAAGCTGACACCGCCGTTGCCACATGCTTTTACTTGGGATTTTTTTTGGAAACTTCTCCTGCAAACTTGGACTGACCCATTCAACTTATTGAACTGCTAGCGACATGCATACGTAGGTAATAATCAAATCAAGTTTGAATTATTCAGAGTTTAGTGCCGAATTCATGTACGCATGAAATAGTATTATGACAAGTATGCAAGCAGAAGACTTGGTGATTAAACTGTTAATCATCAACTTTGCAGTTTTCAAGAGTTTAGTGACAGCAAAGCAGAATCTTCAAATGAAAAGTCGACGATTCTGATTTGTGTCATGATAACAATACTTTTCCTATATATAAGTATGCCCCTTTCCAAAAAAATCAAGCTAATGGAGTCGACATTGCTTCTCTTGCTTCTCTTGTTTCTGATAATGGGCTTCACTGCCTTAAGGAGGAACAATAACAACTTGCCCCCATCTCCAGGATGGGCAATTCCACTTGTTGGCCACCTCTATCTCGTTGGGATGCAAGCACACAGATCTTTGCAAGCACTCTCGCAAAAGTGTGGACCAATCATGTATTTGAAGCTGGGATTAGTACCAAGCATCATTGTCTCCAGTCCAGAGATGGCAAAAGAAGCGCTCAAGGACAATGGCTTGGCCTTTGCTTCGAGGCCATATCTTTTGATCAATGAGCTTGTAGGCTACAACTCTGTGGGAATTGGAATACGCTATGGCGAGCATACGAAGCGGTTGCGAAAGATTTGCACTGTGGAGTTCCTCACAACCCAGAGAATAGATTCTTTTTCTTGGGTGAGATCGGAAGAATTGTCCAGAGCCTTTCGCGTTTTGCTAAAGTCGAGGGAGAGAAAAGCGGCAGTAAACTTGCGAGAGCTTTTGTCAACTTTCACATTCAACGCAGTGACAGAGATTTTGATGAGCAGGAGATTCTTTGGCGATGCTTCCAAAGGAGATGCAGACTCCATAAAGTTCAGGAGATCTATACACCAGAGCTTAAGTCTGGCCATCAAGTTCCACATCACAGAGTTTGTTCCAGCCTACTTGAGAGGATTCCTTGAGTGGCTTGATCCCTCCATCCCTCACTTCAAGAAGTTGCATGAGATTCAAGATAGGTTCTTGCAAAAAGTACTTGAGGAACACAAGGAATCACGCCAGAGTACCAAAGATTTCATGGATATCATGCTAGAGAACTTCAAGGAGGAAGGGTCAGGAGGGGAAAACGTTGTCAAAGCTGTTATAACAGTAAGTCTGGAGCATCCAAAATGATCAAACTACATTAATTTGTCTTCTGTTCAAATAACAGGATCTAATTCTGGCATCAGACTCGACTGGAGTAGCTGCTGAATGGGCGATGGCACAACTTCTTCACAACCCCTCTGTTATGGAGAAAGCCCAGATCGAGCTCAATCTTGTCGTGGGTCCAAACCGCCTAGTCGAAGAGTCCGATTTCTCAAAGCTGGAGTATTTTCAAGCTATTATCAAGGAAACTATGAGACTTTGCCCTCCAGGTCCACTCCTCATCCCTCGCAGCTCGGATGAAGCTTGCAAGATTGGTGGCTATCACATCCCCAAAGGCTCTACGTTGTTTATCAATGCTTTTGCCATGGGACGCGACCCAAGAATCTGGGAACACCCCACGAAGTTTATGCCCGAGAGATTCCTTGGAAGCTCGACGGACATCAAGGGCCAGCATTTCGAGCTCATACCGTTTGGATCAGGGCGGAGGATTTGCCCCGGGATGCCACTGGGACTGAGGACTCTCCAGTTGATACTGTCAAATTTACTCCATGGTTTTGATTGGAGCTTCGTCCAGGGAAAAGTTTATACTCTAGAGGATACTTTTGAGACTGCGTTGCTGCTCAAGATTCCTTTGGAGGTAATGGCAACTCCAAGGCACTCCTTGGATGTATATAAAGTATTCTAAACTGTGATTTAGAAGAACATAATGTATTTGCGTATAGATTTGATATTTGTCATGGCTGTTCTTCTAAAGTCTTTGAAACCAGGTTACTCTGATGATCGCATAAGGGAGCAAAACTACTTTGCCAGTCTTCTCAAATCTTGCACAGACTCAAGAAATCTCCAGCAAGGCAGGCAAATTCACACTCGAATTCTAGAGCTTCCAGATCTTTACCTTTGCAACCTCCTCGTTCTCATGTATGGAAGGCGTGGCAGCATTGCAGATGCCCAGGCGGTGTTTGTGTCCATCGCTAATCCCAATGATTTCTCCTGGAACATCTTGTTTGGTATATATGCCCAGAATGGGCGTTTGCAGCAAGCCAAGAACGGCTAGATCGAGCCAAAGAGATGTTCCATGCAACGCCTTGAAAGGACACTTCCTCTTGGAATGGAATGATGCATGCATTTCGTCAGGCTGGACAGGTCGACACTGCGAGAGAGATTTCTGACACCATGCCTCAGAAAGACGTCGTGGGTTATTTCAGCTTATACCCAGAACGGGCATCTTGAAGAAGCCGGGACCTTGTGTTTGAGAATGCCAAATTCAAATGTGATCACTTTCAACACAATGATTTTACAAGCTTGATCGTGTGAAGAATTTGTTTGATTCAATGCCGGAAAGGGATTTGGTGACATGGGGCAAGCTCTTGACACATGCTTAGAAGAAAAACCTCTTAAACGCAGAGTTGTTCAAAAGCATGCCGAGATGACATTCTGTTAATGAACGTGATGATCAATGCTTATGTTTTGGCCAGCTTGATTTTTACTTTCTATGTATTATAAAAATGTAGCTTCATGGACGTTTGTTCTTTCTGCATTTGCTCAAGCATTGGAGAAAAATTGAATTTCATGATTGATGAAATTAGATTATAAAGTTTCATAATATATTTTCATTATCATTGCCACATTGCAGACATAAAATGCCACATCGGAAGAAATCTGGATCGTTAATTATATTGAAATTTAAACCATTTGTCGCTAGGATCTAGGTTGATTGCTACTTGCTCGTGGCTGCACTGCTACATTGCTAGATGGAGCTGGATCTGTGTTGTTGGATAGAGTTGGATCGCTGCTTGCTAGAGCTAGATTGCTGCACCGCTGTGTTGGATGGAGCTGGATCGCTGTTTGCTCGGCTGTGGCTGCCTGGCTAGTGCTGGATCGCTGCTTGCTCGGCTCACGCTGCTCTTGTCTGGTCGATCCGCTGCTCGCTGAATGTGCCGCTCCTGGAGATCAGTGAGAACAAAAATAGCTTTAAAAAGAAGCAACCTCTTACTAAATCGAAAAGCTGTTGCACCAACAAGAACTCCCGCAGTATTGGAGAGTACTCCCTGGTACAAGCTCAGTATCAGTTCCGCCCAGAAGTAGGACATGCCAGACTAGTTAATTACTGCATAGCAAGGGCCAATATCTTGATGGTTGGAATCCAAAATATGCGAAAGACCAGATATCAAACCAAACTTCCACTTAAAGGTAAATATGGAGAGGATATTACCTGGGAAACCATCATACACAGAGAAGGTGAACGGACATGGCTAAGCTGCGTAAGCCCGGCCAAGAAAACCAATGGATTGCATCAGTAAAACAATGCTGCAAATGCTTGACCAACAACGAAGGGCTAAAATTGAGCACATATATTACATACCTTGCTCCTGCTCCTGGGGCCACGGAAATTCAGTTCAACCTGGAAGAAGTGTCAAGAACGAGAGAGTAAAACATGAGAAAGGATGGAAGAAAGTTTGCACTGGTTTCTGCGACAAGTCAAGAGGGCTTACGTCGGTTTGTTTAGCTTCGTTGCAATGTACTTCTTGACCAGCAATATGGGAAGTTGCCTATCTCTGCGTGTTTAGAGAAGTCAGTGGAGTTGAAATCGTCTTACGTTATTCTCACGTAGGGTGTTATGATCGGGAAGCAGCGAGTCCTCACTCCTGTGGATCCGACAAGTCAGATGCCAAAGAGAAAAATAAAACAGAGAGAGATCGAGAGAAAGATGACCTGCAAAGCCAGAGAAGTTTCTAAGGGAAAACGAAAGGACTTAACTGGTTGGCTGCGGGCTTGAGAGCAAACCACACTCCCTTGTCTGCTGTGACAACCTGGAAGCGAGGAGGAAGAGTAGCTTTGTAAAGTTCTCCGAGAGCAGAAATGCACGAAACTAAGAAACCGAAGGACTACTGTGCAATCAAGCAACTTCTAGGATTTAAACTTGGCATTGCATGAAAGTGATACAAGCAATTTACTTGAATCACTGCTCTAAGATTTGTGCTCTTCGTCCTCTTCGCTCGAGCTTGTTATTTCTCACTTAACTTTCATGTAATTAAATAGAGCTGGGGCAATCTCTTCCTCTGAAAGTGTGATATCTTCCACAGGCGAGCTATATGCCTGTAAAACAAAACTGACAATGAGAAGTAATGCAAAGTATGAGTGAACTCATAGTTTTCTGCCAGAATGTAAACTAGACCACTCCTAACAAACCAAACGTAATTATACTTGTGAATTAAGGCACAATGACCACCATATCACTCTAGGTCACCTTTAAATCCCAAGCCTTGGGTGTAACATTTGCTTCAAGACACTAGGGGGAAATATTATAGCTTAATGGCTTAGTATGAGTATTTTTACTTTTTCACTTCCATCTTAAAGGGAAGGCCCAAGCCCCTAGGAAGGGGCAAGGATTAATGAATTGCAAGTTGGCATCATTTCATATAAATTAGGAGTATTGTAGTTGATTTCCTTTCCAGAAGTGAGAGTTACTTTTGAGCATTTCTTTGAGTAACCCTTCTAACACTACTTGGAGTCCATATTCACTCCCACCCAAAGTGTTTAAGCTCTAATCTCAACCTCAAGTTAATTTAGAAATACCACTAGAAAATTCCTTCAAGACTGGTTCCTAGACTCTAAATGATTTCACTCCTCATTCACTAAGTGGATGTGAAGAGCTAGGTGAATCTGTGTGGGAGAAAGTGTTAGTTGCTATGGTGTGGCTCCATCACAAAAACAAGCACACACAAACTTGTATGGAACAGTGGATGAAACAAATGGGCTTGTAGATATTGTTGCGGAGTCTGGGCTCTCCACGCCTGATGACATAGTGCTTGTTCAAAATGTTGGAGTTAGTGCTGCTGGTCTTTTCGTGAAGTTTTATGCAATGTAAACGAATTCATAGGTACTCGTCGGGAGAGTTGCTGGTGAAGCAAGACGATCTGGAAGCATATTGTTTGGAGTAGCGCAGCTCAGAAGAATTCGCATAAAAAGCCGTACGATTTTTAGGGTTTATATGCTGAGCAAGAGGCATATCAAGCCCAAGAGGACCCAATGCCAGTCGCAAAGTCCAAACAACAAACCAAAGAAGGTGCCTGGGGAAGGACGTTACATTTGCAAGGGAAAGGACAAGACGTGTCCGAAGAAAACAGCCGAACACTCTCAAGCATTGCCCGGCTGGGGATGTCAAGGACAAGGCAGCTAAGTTTGCTATAACTGTGGGTTTCCCAGGGGGCACTTAGTTCGCAGATTGTTTCCTCTATGGTCACATAAGCAAGAATTGTCCAAGCAACACTTGTGGAATCTTCTAGCCAAAGATTGCCCAACGAAAACCAAACCTAGATTAAAAAAAAGTGAATCTCACCTCTTACGACTTCGCAGTGGCCCAAAGCGGAGAGAAACGTAATGTTTTTAAAAGCGGCGATGTATTTAAGTAGCATAGTGTAAGCACTCGTTCTTAAATATCTAGGAAGCTCCCAGATTATCGATTGCTCACACATGTGAAATTGAAAAGGCAGCACCCTCGAGAAGTGAATTTCGGATCACCCAGAGGGTTCTCCTGTTCCATGAAGCGAGAAGCGTGTCCCTTCTTCATGCCGTAACGTGTGCTCAAGACGGACGAACTGCCCCTGCGGAGAGCCAAAGTCTTTCCAGTTGCCTCTAAGGCGTCTGCATACTCGAAGAGCCCGTGATCATCTAAGAAAGCTCTCAGCTCCAAGGCATTCTGCAACGACATCACGAATTCGGTAGGCCAAGTAAAGCTTTGTTGATGCTTGTGTACTTACTTGCTGCTGTTTAGTGAGGCCGAGAGATTTCATATCATTCTTGGTCATGGACGTGAGCAAGTGGACGTCGTCGTAGCCATTTGTGGTGAAGATCTTACTGCTTCCGGCGAGAACACCGTTGCCAAGGTACTCCTCGAGAGTCTGCATTTTGTGCTTTTCCTAGGTAGGATCCATAAACCTGGTAACTCGTTTTTAAACTCAAATCTAACGCCTTGCAATAGTGTTTCATACTATTCAAAGTCGCCATTTTTACTTGTTCCACCAGATGAATTGTCCACTCTTGTGGAGCCCCAAAATTGTCAGACTCGAAAAATTTAAGGAGAGTGAGTGCTTCACTCACCTAGGTTATGAATGGATTTTGTAAGTTTGACTAAATCCCTATTGGCAGATTACAATTTATTATTCAATATAACATAGTAATTTTCCTAATGAGTTGCTCTTTTACATAGCATAAGTTGTGTGCAATCTATAGAAACTACTATGAGTAATAATCAAATGGGGATTTGGTTAAATTTATAAAAGTCAAACATGCTATCCTATCCATAAAGCACAAATAAGACAGTCAAAGTTCTTAGCAAACGTATATACCTGGAATTTTCTTGAATATTCTAGTAAACTTTCCTAAACACATTTTAGTATATTCTAGTTTATTCTACCATCTAATGGTTGATATTCAATAAGTTTACTCTTTTGTTTATAAAATATAAACATGTTTATAATTATAAACTTCCATCTGATCAATTGGATAATAAATATAAATAACACTACTATAAGCAAATCAAGCATTACTACATGTAACATGTAGCAAATTATTTATTACTTAAATAAATTTATTTAGATGGCTTATAATATTAATTCATTATCAAACTAAGTATATTGAGATATGGTTTCCTTCTTATAGTTATTTATTTAGATTAATCTTGTATTTATAATTTATAAATATGTTATAAGCTTTCCTAAATATTTCTAAATATTTAATATATAATAAGATTAATATTGTATTTATATGTTATAAACATAGTTATAAACTTCTGATTGATCAACACAAAATAATACTACTATTAAATAAACTTAGCATTATTGCATGCAATGTGCAACAAATTATTATATTACAATATGAAAAATAATATAATTGCTTGTAGACTTCATCAAGGACTGATAACATTTGCTTTGTTCGATAATGATTTAGTAGTGATAAATTTACTTTACCAAATGGTGTTATAAAAGATTGTGTTATTAAACTTGCATGGTTTTTCCATGTTGACATATTGACTATACCTCTGTTGATATCATTTGGTTGTGTTTAGTTCGTGGTGTTGGATTTCATTAAGTCTTGGACAAAGTGAATCACTCATTGATGATGTGTTATATGAAACTGAGTATTGTTGAAAGATTAATCTCAGATACTGACTAAGGTATCTTTGACTTAGGTTAGCTTGGTTGCTAAAAGGTTTTGAGTGGTGATTCATTCTTACTTTCTTCTAGCTTTGTTCTCATATTGATGCCATTGAAGTGATGTTTTATCGTTGACAATATTGATATTGAGATTCGACTGAAATGAAATGTCTTTTCGTAAGATTGATATTGAGTTTCATTAGTCTTGATATAGATAGTGTTGATGATTTGGCTGTAGCTTTGTGTTATTGGCATTTGTGCATTTGCTAGTTAGCAATTATATTAACATTTAAATGAACTAAGTGACAAATGGAGTTAGTTATGTTCTAGTGGAGATTTTTGAGTAGGGGTTGAGTTTTGAGCTTTTCTTTGAAAAATTATTCAATTAAAAACTATATTAACTTTATAAGAGGAAGAATTAGTGATCGATATTGGAATGTTTAAATCCTTATTGAATTTGAGTTAGAATATATCAATCATTTATAATTTTTTTTGTGCTTGTTATGATGTGACTTACGTTTTGCTATAGATGGATTTATAAAAGATCGTTTGGTGATCATTTGTTGAGTATAGCTTCAATATGCTTGACTTTTGAATTAATGCAGATATGCTTTTCATTAGCTTTAGCATTATAAAGTGTAGTTTATGGATGTGTTGAAGAGGATATTGTGAGTTGTATTATGATTTTTTCTTTAACATTGAAGTTAGTTCATGTGAGACTCATGATCATTGTTAAGCAAGATTTAACTATAAACTTCTTTGAGCTTTTGGTTCTTTAAATTTTCATGTTTGTGATCCATTTGTTAGAAGTTGTTAGGGAAAACATTTGGCTCATTAGATTCGATGTTAAAATTGGCTTTTGCATCTAACAATCATTGGTGATGATTAACTATCATCTAGGATAGTTGATTATCCTTATCAAAAATTTTGCTTTATTATTATTGATCTAGAATGATTTGCCATTCTTCGGGATGGTGGATTTTTTTTTTCAATGATGATTATATATTTCTTCATTGATAGAATGATTGATAATCTTTCATAATAGTTAGTTATTTTTTTTGATGACTTTTGGCTTTTTGCATTACCACATGTTCTTTTGTGGTTTGCTTTGGATTGGTTTATTGGGTTTAAGACATTAATAGGATGTTACTAACACTTGCTTAAGTAACTTGAGTTCTTTTATATTGTTGACTAGAATCTATTTAGATTAGGAATCTTTCCTTACTGCCACGATGGCAAGAAGTCAATATTGCTGGACCCTTTATTAGTCTCCACCTAAGTTAGTTGAGAAACTAATCATCACATATGCACTTAGACTAGAAGGGCACTAAGGAAGGAAATCCTAAGTTGTCACTTAATTAAGCATACTTAACATGGTGACAAAAAACTCATGTTGTTGATTTGCACTTACTAGTGTTAGGAACCCCCGCAATATTGAATTTTGTCCCTCAATATTTGCTAAATGATATGTATAGTTTAGCTCCCACTTGTGTACCTGTCCTTGTTTTATGTCCAACTTGGGTCTAAGCCCAAATTCCTGCCAATTGGTGGACAACTTATATCTTTGTGTTAAACCACTAATATGCTGAAATGGCACTAGATTTTGTTTAGCTCCATTTTGCATGTTAGTCCTAACATTGGAATGATGGATACTCTAGGATTGTTTCAAATTATTCCATGCTTATATCCTTTTGCTTTTTGGGTTGTACGCTCGAGAGTTGTTCTATACTTTAGTTTCGTCGTTTTTTGGCTCCATGCTTAAGAGTTTGGTTTCATTCTTTCATTCAGTGGCCCAAAGTTTTGAAATTTAAGTTTTACTCCACTGTCTTTGGTGACACATGGCATATGACACATGACACATAAAGGGTTTAGGTTTCATTTGCTATACATGTTAGTGAGGAGGATGAATGTGTTTGCATTTGCCCTAAAAACTTGAAGGGCGTGACTCCTCATCACCAGCAATCAGCCAACCAACAGGTGGTTATCCGGGTAAAAACCATGACACCCTCCTGCTATAAATTTGGTAATTTAACTTTAAAAGTAACTTACAAATAAAAATTTAATTATTTTTAATAAAAAACTGTTGCAAATTGGGAGTCCTCTTGGCCATGGCCATGGCCAACCCTTCTGGGTGTGGTTGGCCCTGCAAGCAAGAAAAAAAAAAAACAAATTAGAAAAGACCTTACCAGCAATCGCCACACAAACATATTCCATTTCACGGCTGCCTTTGTGATCTCCGCTGCTCCAGCTTAGAGGAGAGTTCAAGAGAGCACAGGCCACCGCAAACGTTTCTGGGCACCACTTACTGTCCTCCGTTTCTCCAGATTATTAAAAAGATCATCCAGCTTCATTCCATCTTCATGACCTGCTCAAATTGTTTCTTCCACTCCAGCATAAGCTCAACAGAACCGTGTAAATCACCACGCATGCCATCTTTTCACCATTAGGGCAGCTTCATGCAAGTGTAATGCCTGCGATGCCAAAACTCTGAGTTCATTCTCCGGAAGTAACCCTTAACGAGGCCGGCATGGCTGCACGCGAAGAACCGAGAGAAAGGTGACCGTTTGCAGCTTGTCCTCTTGTATTTTTCTCGAACAGATGAAACACCCGGCTATCGCCCTGACAAGTGTAACCTTCGATTCCAGAGCTCCAAGTAACGATCCTTCTCCGCATCGACCATGCTGCGACATGGTCTCTTCAGAAATCTTCCCTGCATTGGGCTTCAGGCAATGTCAATGTCGTTGTATTATAGTGGTGAGCATTTCCGCCTGTCATGTTTCGATCCCTGGTCCTAGCTAGTGCTTTTTCATGGTGCCTTGATCTGGTCCAGTCTTGCAAATCGCTCCCCGGGGCGATTCCACTGCGATCCATCTTTTCGGGAATCGCAAGTGTGGTGGTGCTGCCGAGGCCGGTTTTTATGGGATGCTCGCTCACGGTTTGAGCGTCGAAGAGGCAGCGTCGGCATTCAGCATGCCCGAGCGCGATCTCTTCTGAATAACACCTGATGCGCTCTACGTACCAGATGAAGATTTTCGACTCTCTTTCAGCCTGACTGTTCCAATGGAGCAACACAGGAAGGCGACACCAGCGAGCCCTTTTTCATATGCAGAGGTATGTTGTTGGAGCATGGCGGAGACGGGCCTAGAGGACCTCTATCTCAGGCTAGCAAAGCTGGAGTAACAAGAAGAAGAAGATCACTCTCTGGATGGAGGGAGAGAGTGATCTGGTACCAATGAATCCGGATCTGTGGAAGGGCAAGCCGGCGCAGCTGCTGCTCAAGATTCTTGCCGACCATCTCCCCTCCGCCTGGCGACGGCGACTGGGAGCTCACCGCCGCCATTCTCGCGCAGCCCTTGAAGAAAGACACGCTTGCTCTTGTGCTTGGAGCTGGTATATCAGTCAAGAGCTGGATTCGTGTGCCAATCTTGCGGCGCTGAGCTCCTCCGGAAGAATCTCGGACTTCCTTGATGGCGAGCTAGGGGATGAGAGTGACGAGAGGCTGGAGTCTATATGGATGATGTTGCCATCCAAGTTCCAGCGCCAGCGCTTGCCATCATCATCGCGCATCCTGTCCGGGAGCTTGAAGACACGGTTCTCGCCGTGGGCTGGAAGCTCGACAGTGCTCACCACTTTGATGATCTTGGAGACGACTTTCTTCATTGTTCGTGACGACCAGTAGTCGAAATGCTGGCTTCGAAAAGAAGACAGTAGTAATGTAGAGACATCTGGTCGCGCATGAAGTTTCAAGCTGGTGGATGGATAACTCCATCCAAGCTTGTCGAAAGAAAACATACTTAGAAGTTGAATAAATCCAAAAAACGCTATGGAAGAGTCGAATGTTTCCCGGATGGATGGATATGCGGCAATGGTTCGAAGAAGATCAAACAAAGATGGACGCTTTACTCGAGGCTGGCCCTTGCATAGAGCGTCAACGTTGGAGACCATAGATTCACGCGGTATTGCCAGCAATTTGCTCCGGTATAAAAGTCAGGTGAATTCCATCTTGTGAGAGTATCAGTCATTCAAGCTCTTTAGTGTTCTTGTCTGAGTTAAGTAGTATCATGTCGATGGCTAGTTTGCAAGTGATCTTCTTCTTCTTGTTAGCTCTTGTTGCGGTGGGAGTGTTTGCCTCCGATCCGGAGCTTGTCTCGGATTTCGCTGCTAATCCCGCCGCCATCAACGCGAGCTTCTTCACTTTCACTGGCTTTCGCAGCGATGTCACGGCTCCAGCAGGAACTTTCCTGGTGAAGAAGGCATCGCTCGCGGAATTCCCTGGTCTGAATGGCCTCGGCGTCTCCATGGCCAAGCTCTCCTACCAGCCAGGCACGACCAATCCCCCGCACATCCATCCCCGGGGCGCGGAGCTCCTCTTCGTGTTACAGGGCTCGCTCAGCGTCGGCCTGTTGGACACCACCAACAAGCTCTTCGTCCAGAAGCTCGAGATGGGCGATATGTTCGTGTTTCCAAAGGGTCTCGTCCACTTCCAATTCAACGATGGACAGCACGAGGCCAAGGCCATCTCGGCCTTCGGGAGCTCCAATGCCGGCACCGTTTCCCTCCCTGTCACCCTCTTTGGGTCTGGAATTGACGATCAAATCCTCAGCAAGGCTTTCAAGGTGAGCACGGACACTGTCAAGACTCTCAAAAACGCTCTCGCAGTGAAGAAAACTGCGAGGAAGCTTTGATTCTTTCAATGTTTTTAAAATTGATAACGTGGGTCCAATTCTACCGTCGATCCCCTTTAATTCCTTGAGCATATTTCTCTTGGTTTAAATGCTGACCGTCAGATTTTTCCACGCAAGCATGTAGAAGGCGGGATCGCTCTTCTCTGCCATAGCCATTCCAGCGACCCTCCGCCCTCGCTTGGCATCGCTCTGTGTCGCGCAAGCTCCCAGATATGCTTTCCAAAACACCGAATTTTTCTCACAAGCCAAGGCTTTGATGAATCGTTCCACGGTTTCCAGAGATCCGGCTCTTCCCAGGAGATCTGCGAGGCATCCATACTGTTCTCGCCTTGGATTGATCCCATGATCTAGGACGAATTCCCCGAAGTATCTGTGTCCTAGCTCCACAAACCCAACATGACAGCACGCCGAAAGAATGCCCAAGAGTGTGAGCTCGTTTGGTTTGATTCCTTCCAGCTGCATCTCCTTCTGCAACTCGAGCGCCTCTTGGCTATACCCGTGTTGGGCATACGCTTGGATCATGCAGTTCCAGGATACCACATCTTTACTCGAGCTCAACGACTCGAAAGCTTGTCTTGCGAGAGGGATGCTTCCACAGGTGGAATACATTTTGATCACTGTGTTGCAAACGTGTGCACTGGAATCAAACCCATTATCAAGAGCACTTGAGTGAATCTGCTTTCCCTGCGCTAGATCCATTCTCGAATTGCAAACTTGGAGAGCAGAAACAAAAGTTGTCTCGTTTGGCTGCAAGCCTTCCATGTAGAGCATTTGGAAGATCGATTTTGGGAAGAAAGAAACCATGAGATTGTAAGTGTCTAGAGCAATCTCAGGCATGCCTTGGAAGAGTTTCCATGCCTCTTCAAACTTTTGGTTCTCGGCATACGCAGCTAGCAAGGTGTTCCAGGATATCAAGTCCCGCTCAGGCATTGCTTGGCTAAGAATTTTACGAGACAAGGCATCCACATCTCGGGAATGTGAGACCAGGAGGAGATTCCACGAGAGCATGCTATGCTCCGGCATTTGATCAAACAGCCCAGTCGCATCGGTGTAAAGCTCGCTTCGAGCGTAAGCTCCGAGCATAGAATTCCAGGACACTAGATTCCTGTGCGGCATTTCGTCAAACACGCACTTGGCCTCTTCCACACGCCCATGCTGGGACAACATCGATACCATTCCATTGCAGCTAGCGAGATTATGCTGCAGCATCTTCTCTCGAAAAAGTTTCTGGGCTTCTCCAAGCTGGCCACAACGAGCAAAGGCAGCCAACATCGAGTTCCATGAAACTATGTCTCTTTGCGGCATCGTATCAAACAAAACCTTGGCTTCGTCCAAATGCCCAGCCTGAGCATAAGCAGATATCATCGCGTTCCACGATATCAAGTCGCAGTGGTGGAGGCTTTCGAGGATACTCCGAGCTTCTGAGAGATGCCCGGAATGGGCATACGCCCCCAGCATTGTGTTGGAGCTCGGGATATCTCGCCAAGGCATGGATTCAAAGAGAGACTTGGCCATTTGGAGATCATCCGCTTGGATGTAAGCACCGAGCATCGCGTTCCAGCAGATGCTATCCCGCTCGGGAAGCTCGATAAAGATGGAGCGCGCCTCGTCCAGAGAGCCCTCTTGCGAGAGCGCGGAGATGATCGCGGTGCAAGAGCACGCACTCCACTCGGGCATTGCGTAGAACACTCGCCTTGCATCGCCCACGCGGCCATTTCTCGCGAGCACCACTACCAGCGCTGTCCATGAGAAGAGATCGCGCTCGGGCATGGCGCTGAATGACGACGCTGCCTCTTCGACGCTCAAACCGTGAGCGAGCATTGTGTTCCATGATCTTATCTCTCGTTCTGGCATTTCCAGAAAGACCATCTTGGCAGCGATGGCTTCCCCGGCCCGGGTAAGCACGGCGAGGAGAGTGTTCCAGGAGATGAGATTGTGCAGTGGCATCAAATGGAACATCTCGTGCGCTCCCTCGACGTCGTCCATCTGCAAGTACACAGCCAGCATTGCATTGCAGGAAACAAGATTCTTCTCGGGTATCTTACCGAAGGTAATTTGCGCTTGCTCCAGATATCCTGCCCGGGCATATGCAGTAAACATGGAGTTCCAAGAGACTAGATTCCACTGCGGCATCCTTTCAAAAAATGCTTCCACTCGAATAACGTTTCCCGAGTTCGCAGACAGCATGATGTTCCACGCAACCAGAGTTCTGTGAGGCATTGTCTCAAAGATCTCGGTGGCGGCATCCAGCTGACGGTTGCGAGAGTAAGCCGCAAGCATGATCTCCCAGGAAAACGAGTCCCTGTTGCTCATCCCGTCAAAAATCGCGCGTGCCTCCGCAGCACTGCCACATTTCCCATACATCTCGATGAGCTTGTTCCCGAGAAACAAATCTAGCTCCTTCCCGAAGATATGGATCGCAGTGGCATGGATTTGGCGCGCGCAGGGGAGCGTTTTGCAAGACTGGACCAGATCAAGGCACTCGCTCCGAGTGAGCATAACCCAAACATCACGAAATGAGAGGTTCTTTTTTCCGCCGTTGCCGGGGATCGAACCCGGGTCGTCCGCGTGACAGGCGGAAATACTCGCCACTATACTACAACGACATCGACATTGAGCGTTTTTTTTCTCCTTATAGTAGTTTCAAGTAGCTCAGCTTCCGGTTTCACAGCTTTTGGAAAACCATCGGTGATTCTTTCTAAGGAAATATACCAGACTCCAGACCCGATCGATCCCGGAACTCGCGGAAGAATCGTTCAAGCTAGATCCGCGAGGCAACCATTTGAAACCGCTGCTGGCCGGTCTCGAGACCCTGACGCTGCCGAAGGAGATGTAGAGTACGGAATTTGGAGCATGCTTGTCGAGCCAGTCGAGTGATATGGATCTCAAGCTCGCCTCCAGGTGTTGCCACCCTTGAGCGGGAATTACTTATATTTATCATGGACTCTATTTTGTCACGGCGATGGATGTCGGAGTATTGCACCCCTAGTGCATAGACCCGGACACAATCTTACTGTTGGAAACAACTTCCTCGAAGACTTGCAGCTCCATCTCGAAGATCGAGTTTGCAAGGATCCATGAGTCAAAGAGAGAGCAAGAGAAAGCGAGAGACACTTCTCGACTCCCCTGTTTTTGTAGAAATCTCTGTGGTGGTTGGCTCTAAATGGCTTGTTAACTAGAACTTTCTAGCTAATAAAGAAATCCGTTTTTATTTTCCTTTCTTTCTGAGTGGCTTAAAGAGATTTCTTTTCCGAAAATTCTGGTATATACATTTTGGATCTGTTCACACAAACATAAGGTCATTGAATTACAATTTAAAATCATTTTTTTTTATTTTGTTATTATTTTGTTAGTCACAATCGCTTTCAGTCATTTTTATTTTTTTATTTTCACTTTCTGGTAAGGAAAAAAAACTAAACAAAAGAATAAATCTGATTATGATAAATAAATATAATAAATAATATATTAAAATTTAAATTCAACGACCTTATGTTTATATGAACTATTGATCCTATAAGATCTCTAAAATATATTTTCTTTCTACTTGTATTTTATTTTATTCGGCTTTCTAAACATTTATTGTGAGGGGCAAGCACTCACATTATCAAATATTGTTACATTAAGAAATTCTACAAAAATGATTTAGTGATATATTTATTAATTATTTAACTCGTAAACGTCCGAGTTTAACTTATAATGATACTTATTATAAAAGTTTGAATGTGGGAATTTTTTCATCCACCAAGTATTTATAATTAAGTTTTGTTAATCTCCATATATTTTATGCTTAAATTCAAAGATCATTAAAATAATTTTAAATTTGATAAAAAAATTCATATATTAAGATTGGTGGTAATGATCTTAGTTACAGCATGCTAAATTCTGCACATATAATGAATATTAGAATTCTAGGAGTGGGATTTATAAAATTACAATATATAATGTTTAGTAAGGAATATTCCATGTTTTCATTATGCAGTTATTACAATTATTTCTAATGCTATTTGGATGCATTATGACAATTTTTTGGATGTCTTGTTGAAGCTAGAAATGTTATTGATCATTTAATAATAAATTATTGGTCATAACAAATGATATTAACAATCAAAATGATAATTTGTTTTTTGCAAGTGATGATATAATTAAGAATTATGGATTTATAAATTATAAGCTTTCTTGTTGCAGGATACTTGAAAATGAATAATAATACAGCATATTTGTGATTTGTGAATCATAAACTAACTGTTTACAACAATCCAAATGAATGTTTATCATTTGATAACACCTATTTCACTCAACAATATATTATTCCAATTATGAGTTTATTGCTTAGCAAATCAAGGGTTAAATGTGACAGTAGACTGGCCAGGACTTGGTTTTACTAATTTGAAATCCAAGGACTATTTCCTTACCCACTAACACTAACATTTTAGCAAGATTTAAGATTGTAGTGTAATGAGGATTCTTTCAGTAGGAACAATAAACTCCTTATTAATGATAATCTCAAGAGGATGCAAAGCGTTACCACTGGATAAAGGACAGAGTGAAGATAGCTCTTGTCTGACATTGGCTTTCTTAGCCTCTCGTTTTCGATGACAAAGCCAGAATCACGTAGTGCAGACTTACTTGATTGTCCGTAGTACATTGCAAAATCACCGAAATAATTAGCCACCGAGAGTCCATACGCTCCAGGGAGATTGTTTCTCAGCGTGATTTCCATAAGAGACATATGTCACTTCCTCCATTAAATCCAAGACGCAAGCTTCAAGCAACTAAGTTTCTCAAGGACGACCAAGAACTTCTTCTGACAAGTAAATGAGAACTTCAACTGCCACATTTGGAGAATGGGTTGACGTCATTGTTCCAGGAAAAGCTAAGGCAATCACTTTCAGAGAAACCAATCTATCATCGTAACAGGGACTTGTTTTCTTGGTTGCGGCTTACTCTCGCAACCACCAGACTACCAAGATCTTTGCGAAAATGCCTTGGTGGCGTGGACCATCATCCTGTCTACAAACTCGGATAACGTTTCTCAAGTAGAAGAAGCTTCTGAGAAGATGTCGCAGTGGAATCTGATCTCTTGAAACTTCATGTTTACTGCATATGCCTGGTCAGGGTATATGAAGAAAGCGTAAAGTACCTTCGATATGATACCCAAAAAGAATCCTGTTTCTGCAATGCAATGCGAACACGAGTTGTTCCGGATGATGCCGCTGCACAATCTCATCTCTTGGAACAGCCTTGGCTGGTGAGAAAAAGTCAGTGTTTTGGAAAGCATATATTGGAGCTTGCGCTCCAGAGCGATGCCAAGCGAGGGCGGAGGGTCGCGGGACTGGCTATGGCCGAGAAGAGCGATCCCGCCTTCTACATGCTTGGGTGGAGAAATCTTTAAACCAAGGAGAGGAATATGCTCAATGAATTAAAGGAATTTCATAAACTTTGAAAGAATCGAAGGACTTCTTAGCACTTCTTCACTGTGAGGGCATTCTTAAGCATCTTGACTGTGTCCGTGCTCACCTTGAAAGCCTTGCTGAGGATTTGATCGTCAATTCCAGACCCAAAGAGGGTGACGGGGAGGGAAACGGTGCCGGCATTGGAGCTCCCGAAGGCCGAGATGGCCTTAGCCTCGTGCTGTCCATCGTTGAATTGGAAGTGGACGAGACCCTTTGGAAACACGAACATATCTCCCACCTCGAGCTTCTGGACGAAGAGCTTGTTGGTGGTGTCCACCAGGCCGACGCTGAGCGAGCCCTGTAAGACGAAGAGGAGCTCCGCGCCCCGGGGATGGATGTGTGGGGGATTGGTCGTGCCTGGCTGGTAGGAGAGCTTGGCCATGGAGACGCCGAGGCCATTCAGACTAGGGAATTCCGCGAGCGATGCCTTCTTCACCAGGAAAGTTCCTGCTGGAGCCGTGACATCGTCGCGAAAGCCAGTGAAAGTGAAGAAGCTCGCGTTGGTGGCGGCGGGATTAGCAGCGAAATCCGAGACAAGCTCCGGATCTGAGGCAAAGACTGCCACCGCAACAAGAGCTAACAAGAAGAAGAAGATCACTTGCAAACTATTCGTCGACATGATACTGTGTTTGCAAACTTAGCTCGAGACAAGGAGGCTAAAGAGCTTGCAGACTTTGATCCTGACTGATACACAAGTTGGAATTACCCCGGTTTTTATACCGGAGCAAAGCTCCGTGTTCTTGCTGCCAATACCGCGTTAATCCTCTGGTAAAATGGGCTCACCTTGACAAAGAATGCCTCGAGCAAAGCGTCCATGTTTGTTTGATCTTGTTGGAATCATTGTCGCATATCCATCCATCCAGAAAACATTCTCTTTCAGATTTATTGGAGCGAAGTTTTGACAAAAGATGTTTTGTTTTGACAAGCTAGAAGTTTCAGTGAAGATCATCTTCGAGGGATGATTGATAAGCAAAACATGCAGAGGTGGTAGGCCAAAAAACGTATTTTGGACTCGAAGATCTGTAAACCACCGTTCAATCCACCAACTTCATGCGCTGAATGATCCCTACTGTCTCTTCTTTTCGAAGCCAGCGTTTCGTACTGCATCTCTGTTGATCCTCTTCTTGAATTTCGACGAGTTTTGGTACTGGTAGTCACGAACAATGAAGAGAACCGTCTCCAGGATCATCCCAGCAAAAAGGCCGATCAGGCCCCCTGCGACATGCTACACGGGAATCGTACCAGAGAAACCAAAGTGGAAAAAATGAGAAGATCACGTACCAGGACCACGGATTCCTCAAACTGGGATCTAAACAACGCAAAGCCCAAGAGAAAGCCAGTGAACATTGTGACAATCACATGAAGACCTGCGATCTAGACTTGTTTCGCGTCCTTCTTCCTTGTCAAAGAATGAGAGATACATACCGAAACCAATTTGATCTTTGTAGGTGGAGAGTGGAACCATCTCTTCGTTCTCCTTCACCACGTCTTTCACTAGATCTTTGTAAGCCTTTTGATCTGCTAGCTCTTGTAGCTTTTGAAGACGTTCTTGTAGCTCCCTGGGCTGTGAGAAAGACATCAAAGAAATCGCAAAGCATGCAGAAAGAAAAAAAAAGAGAAATGAGAGAGGAAACGAACCTTTTCTCTCGGCTTAGGGGACTGGAAGGCGAATGTAGCCCCTTCCAGCAATCGACGGAAGCTCGGCCGCGCCTCGGGAGAAAAATTACTCCACACATCGCGAATGACCTGATACGGCACCACTGACGCATCCTTGTACCTCAGAGCGAGCTCGGAGACGCGATCGGGCAGCAGCGACGCCGAGCTACTGGCGGCATCGAGAAATTCCTGGATACCGGCCGTAGAGTGGAAGCGCAATCCCGCCACGCGATTGTCCTCCATAGCTACGAAGAACCCTAAAACCAAGCCACTTGTCAGAATAGTGACCGTCGATCTAACGGCGCGCGCATTTTAGGGCTTCCTGAGCGCTTGGCGCAGAATGCACGCCTCGATTCCTTCGATTCCTTCTATTCCCTGCCGGTTCGGCAGGGCTGCGGCACCTGGAGATCACATCGCGCCGCGCGCTGCGATTCCTGGCAATTCGAGCTATAGATTCTTGCATGGCGTCGACCACAAATTTGGTATTTCGATGCGTCGCAGGGTCAATGTCGCTAGAAGGCGTCCAGGGGCCACAAGAAAAGCTGGGAACATCGTTGTCTCGCAGCTCAATGATTTTCTAAGAGGTTAGCCGCTAGCCTTTCATTTTTAAACTTTCTTCTTTGTTTCTTTTTGTTCTTCTATCTACAGTGGTACGTATTGTCGCCAGGACAGCGAACGATAGTCTGGAGGCTGGAAGCAAATTGGTGCCTGTGAGTGGTTTTTTTTTCTGCCATGGATCGTTGAAGTGATCTTAGTTAGTGGCAAGCAAAGTCTTTTTTCGAATTGTTTGCGTGAGTTTCGAGTGACAAAGTTCTCTGGAGTGTGTTCTTCTTTTTTTTTTGTCGCTGGAGTCGTGTGTGTTAGTGGCATGTTGGATTTGCTTGAGTGAGACTTTCAAAGTTCTCTGATTTGGTGGCTAAGCACCTTTGTTTTTTAATTTCCAGGAATCTGTGCCGAGGCCTGCTGCGAAGGCAATTGTCGCCGTTCTAGGAATCGTGGCCACCTCCTTCCTGTTTAGCTCTCTACTTTCGCTCGCGAGCTTGGCCCTGGTAAGGCCTTTTCCTCTTTTCTACGGAACAAACTCTTGTTTTTGTTTCAGGGAATCGCTGGAATTGCGTATTTTGCGTACGTCTACTTTAGCAGAGACGCAAGTGGTGGCAAAAGGAGCCAGCCCAGCAGCACGGAGTCAAGCTTAGAGGAAGCCAGGAGGATCATGGAAAAGTACAAGTAGGGGAGAAAAAGAAGCTCCAGGTGCGCATACGTTTCTCTCATCAATCTCGAGCATACTTTCGAGAAACTCGAGGCTTTGGCTCGCAAAGTCAATGATTTCTTCATGAGGACGCAACAGGGATTTGTAACTAATGGTCTACTTCCCAGTTTCTAGAGGCGTTGATCTCGAGTTTGAGATTGGAGGAGAGAAGGGGAAAAAGAGGGAAGTGGCCTATCAAGCACACACAACCTCTATAGTGCTCGCACGGGGATTTCGTACAAAGTTTCTAGAAGCGAATGCTACGTTTATTAAGATCAACAGAGAAATTGGAAGCTTCCTTTCGTGAAAATTAGGTTCGCGCATTCGCTGGTCAGTGGTGTAGCGAATCAAATATCAACGTCAATTCGATAGAAGTTTGATCCCGTCACTCACTCATATTATTCACTCACACTGCTGTTCTAGAAGCACTGGCCTTATACGCGAGTGTAAGTGGCCACTAAACTGATGGCACCTCCTCCTCTCCCCAGATTTTAGAAGCTTCGATGGCGGCAGTTATTGTCGTTGTCGAGGTGGCAAGCGGATAAGACACGCAGTTTTGTCCGCCACATGGGCGCACGGACACGCGTCGCCAGGTCATTCGGGCTTAAGCCGCCAAATCAGCCGCAAACCCGAGAATATTCTCAGAAGATTCTTATCGAATATTCAGGTCCCGTTTGCTTATAAGGGCCATTCCTCCACAATACCTATACACACGAATTTCACCGACGCGAAAGATCAAGAGCAAAGAAATTCCTTTCTCTTTTCTTCCTCTGTTCTTGCGCTACTCGATCGATCTCCTCGATTTTTCCCTCTTCTCTTTATGTTGATCGTCGCGGCCCCGAGCTCTCCGATCGCAGGAGTAAATTCGCCCAGCTTCTCGAGCAAACTCGCCAAATCCTCTCCAGTCCGCAGCTCCCCAGTCCGCCCCCGCTCGATCCAAGTGTCCGCGGCGGCGTCGCAGTGCATGGATTCGCCAGTGGCGACGCGATTCTCCGCCCAGCAGAGCCTGTACGACGTTCTCGGCGTCGCCCAGCAATCGGATGTGAAGGACATTCGCAGCGCCTACCGGCATCTGGCCAGGATCACACACCCGGACGTGGCGGCGACGGAGAACAAGGAGGAATCCACCAAGGAGTTTCTGAAAATCCACGCAGCCTACACCACTCTGTGCGACCCGGAGCGCCGCGCCAGGTATGATCTCCAGCTCTCGCTGCAATCCCTGCCGCGATTCGGCAGCCCACGGGGATTCTCGGGAATTGGGTACGACAGCTACTCGTTCATGGCGCCATCGCCCATGAGGGCCTCGCCATCGCCATCGCCATCGCCATCCACGCAGTGGAAGACGAGTAGGAGCTGGGAGACCGACCAGTGCTGGTGAGCGAGAGAAGGAAGAACACAAGAACAAAAATTTGGGGCTTTTTCGCCTCGCAGATCAGATCAAGGGGGTCTCAGCGAGCACTCAGGAATCGATCAATCGAGCTGCGAAAAGATGTCATTCGTTTCCAGGCGATTTCCCTGGCAAGATCTCTGCGACCCCGAGAAATTTCTTCTCGCATACATTTGTAAATAGAGAATCGTCTGTATCAAAAGGACGAGCTGCTTTGCAACTCGCAGAGTTCCGTGGCTCTCCAAAGAGCTTTTTTTCGCAATTCGAAGCTTCCCCTTGTCCTCCACTAGCAAGAATTTTGTTTGGAGCCAAAAGTTTCTTCCAGAAAATCGTGACAGGAGTAGAGTTTTTCGCAACTTACACAAGACAAGAGTAAAGACTTTTCCCATGACAATCTTCCGCAACTTACTTACACAGGAGTCAAGACTTTCACTTGTAAGTCTTCCGCAAACTTACACAAGAGTAAAGATTTTGTCTTGAGAGATCTCTTGCAACTTACACGCGAGTAAAGTCTTGAGAGGCTCTTGAATGCGTAAAGATTTCTGCTTGAAAATCTCTTGCCAGTTACAGGACGAGAAATTTCGGTCGCAACTTGGATCTGGCAAGTCGGTGGTCCCAAGGGGGTGAATTCTTATCCTTTGCAGGATTTGCATCACATGCAACCTTTGCATCCCAGTTTCATCGATCCAGCTCAACTCTTATCCCTTTGGCCGCGTGAGTCGTCCAAATCCATCCGTCTATAGATCAAGTAGTAATGTCAGTGTCACGAGATAAAATAATCCAAAACCACCCCCAAACCTTGCTGATTCGATCCTCATCTTCCAAGAGCTTCTATTTGATATGATCGATCGATCGGGGTCTCCTCCGGTGCATGGAACTCCATTTTCGAGCGCAACATGGCCATGACTTACGAACATGTTGGTCGCTGATTCCTCGGAAGTCTCTCTCCGCTTGACTTCCAGGAAGTAGAAAACGATTTCTTTTGTTGACTCTGCCACGGCCCCCTGCTTCGGAGTGTCCAAGTTCATACCAAATTCTTTGCTGCTGCCTTTTCCTTGTCGATTTGTCGGCTTACTGGCTTCCCTGGAACATGGAACAGGAAATCACAGAGTTAACTATCGTCTCACGTAAGCGCTGGCAATTAATATGAGAGAGAGCGCAGAGATCGCCCCAAGTGTTGAATCGTGATGAACAACTCAACACGCAAGAAGAGAAAAAAACCAAACAATGTACCGCAAAAATTGAAAAAAGTTGGTGAAAGTTGGCCCATGCAACTCATACACCTTTCTAATCACAGGCACGACGAAAAGGTCACGAGAACGTCACCTTCTTTCTAGAAGCGCGAGCCTCAGCCGTCCGATCTCGGGGGCCGCATCCAACGGCCGCCCGTCACGGGCGCGCGAAACTAAACCGCCTCGCAAGATTCAAATTTTCGAATTCTTGCTTGCCTCGCGCGCTATGGAAGCATTTCGCCTGGCAGCAATTCACGGAGGGATCAGCGCAACCGAGCTGAGAAGTAGAGTGGAAAACTTACGAGCAGCGTCGGTGCCGCGTTTTTCAGTGGAGTCACGAGTTTGCTGGCGACACCGGGGGAGGAGATTGCGGGCCAAGCAGGACGAGTGCGAGGAAGCGGCGCGAAGCATGAAGCAGGCACTCGATCACAACCCCGCCAAAGCTGCGGAGAAGCTGGTCTCTGCGTTGGATCCCGGCGGCAGAAAGGCCGTGATGACAGCGCTCTCTGGTAATGTCCTCACGTCAATCCTGCTATAAACAGCGAAGAAAAAACACACTTTCTACTCTCGGGAATGAGAGCACACTTACGCGCGCGTTTGGTTCTTGTTGGTTAGGCTACAGCTTCAGAGGAAAGCGATGACAATGACTCGAGATCTATCACTGGAAAGGAAACATTAATACTCACTTTCAAAGCTGCAATTGGTAAGTTAATACCCCGAGTGTTATGATCACCCGAATGAATTTCCGGGAAAACTTTCCTTGCAGGAATGGTTGGCTTCGGCTTTATAGGTGAGTGGTCGTTCTATACAGCCCCCATAATTCATCGAGCTCTCGCCCTGAGCAGATAACTCAATCATGATCATCGCTGGAGACGCTATCCAAAACACAATTGGTGATACCTTTGGCTTGTCTACCATGGCAGTAAGAAATTCTTCCGCGACGCCTGAACTGCAAAGAAAATTCCTGATTAAAGAATCCACGGAAATATCGACGACATGCTAACCTGTTGTAAGCTCGTTGGTAGTCTGCAGGCCTTGGAAACGCTGTGTCCGATCTGCTCGGATCGCTTCTATGTGGATATATAGAGCGGGCTTCAGAGAAGTTTATGCCCGAGCTTGATCTTTCACCCTCGCAGCTTAAGTCCAACAATGCGCAATGGGCGGAGACCATTGGAGCGGCTTCAGGTGTTACCTTTGGTTGCATTCTGGGGCTGTCGCCTCTCCTGTTTATATCAGACTCGGGCTCAGGTGGAAGCCACACTGTAGCTTCCACGAGCTACTGCGACAACGCTCCTGCAACCAAGCACGGCAAAAATCAGTCCCATCAATCGACGACAACCTTTGCATCTATGTCAGACGGATTTCGAGCACCGGGGCTGTGTCGCTTACAGCGTACAAAGTGCAGCTTTGCTCTAGTCGTATCTATTAGCCTGTTGATGATAGCAAAACGTATGGACGAGTTCCTGTCAAAGCGGAGGAGTCAAAACTCGCAATAAAGTATCAGCAGAGACATACCTGTTCCATCCGGCCTCGAAGGAAAAGAAGTCTCACCAGAAGTCCTTGCAGGAGCAGGAGCCGTTCTTAAAGTGATGAAACCGATTTGAGTCCCTCACAATAATTTCTCGTCGTGTAATCTTCGACGTCAGCTTCGTCATGGCATGACAGTCGCCACATACACGAAGGTTCTTCATGATACGAAGTGGAGTCCCCTGAGACGTGCTGATGATACCAAATGCGATAGCCAGCCTTTCACTGTGAGCGAAGAGCAGCGGTTCCTTCTGCCCAGCCTCCACATCATGAGCAACGTGTGTCATATCAGGATCATATCCCGCTCTCTTCATTTCCTTGTCAAGTCTCTTGAGCTCATCAAATATCTCCTTGCTTCTTGGATTGGATTGATCCCCCGCAGTAAACTCATAGACGCTAGTTCCAAGCTTGATGATACTCCGCCCTGCGTTTTTTCTGATACCCCGGTCTAGCATCAACTTTCTGATCCTGGAGGCCTCCTGAAAATCTCCAGCGTCGGCATGGATGCGTGCTAAAGCCACGTAGCCTGTCGACGCCTCCGGATCAATCCGAATAGCTCCTTTTGCAGCAAACTTTCCTCGTTTCATATCACCGTGACTTCTGCAGTTGGCAAGGAACGATGTCCACGTCAAAACGTCCGGCTCGAAAGGCATGCCTTGAATGAGAGCTTCGGCATCGCTCAGCCGACCAGCTTTGCCAAGAGATTCGACCATGCACCCGTAGTGGCCACCCCCTGGACGAACCCCGTGATCTTGCTGCATACAGACGAAATAAGAGTGTGCTTCTTCCGGAAGGCCCGCATTGGCACAAGCTGATAGCACGCTCATAAATGTGATGTAGCTTGGCTCTTCCCCGTCAAGCCGCATCAAAAGGAAGAGCTCGAACGCCTGCTGCTCGTGACTGTGTTGCGCATAGGCTCCTATCATGGCGTTCCAGGTCACAGAGCCTTTGGCAGTCTTGTCGAAGATGCTTCTGGCCACGTCCAGGATCCCACACTTCCCGTACATGTTGACGAGCGAGTTTGCAAGCTCTGTAACTTGAAAGGCTCTGTCTCCCAGCCTCCTGTGAACCTGTTTCCCCACTTCCATATCACCCAAGGTGGCACAAGCGTCTATAACGCTCACGTAGGTGTAGTCGTCCGGCACCACGCCTTCTTCTTGCATGAGTTCGTAGAAACGAAGAGCCTCGCTGGTGTGCCCGTGCTGGCTGTAAGCTGCGATCATAGTGTTCCACGCGATCACATCCGGCTGTGACATGCTTTTAAACATGGCTTCCGCGTCTTGTAGACATCCACACTTCCCATACATGTTGAGTATGACGTTCTCCAGTGGAGCATGGTTCGAAGCTAGAGGATGCTCGCGAACACAAGCGTGAATAGCTCTACCATCCTCCAGTGCCACAGGAACGCAGCAAGCTCCCAGGATGTTGATGAAAGTAACTTCGTCCATTTCCAGACCAAGTAGCAGCATCCTCCGAAAGAGTCCCATTGCCTCCTTGAAGCAGCAGTGCTGGACGTAGGCCGAAATGAGAACGTTCCAGGTGATAACGTTGGGCTCCTGGAGCTTGACGAAGGCCGCGTTTGCATCATGCAAGCCGCTACACTTGGCGTACATGTTGACGAGCGTAGTGCCTACAACCACGTCCTGATCAAATCCAGTTCGTAAGATACAATCGTGAATGTACCTCGCAGATTTGAGCTGAGAAGGCTGGTCGTAGGCACTCATGAGCGTGATGTAAGTCACGCTGCAAGCTCTGATCCCCTCCAAGAACATCTTTTGCAGCGTCCTCAATGCTTCCAGCCCTCGTCTGTGCTCGGCAAAAGCCGCGATCATCGCGTTCCAGGAGACAGCGTTGAGCTCGGTCATGCTCTCGAACGTCTTCACGGACTCTTCAAGGCTTCCACACTTGCTGTACATGGAGACCAAGGAGGTCGTTGCCACCACCGCGTCCTGGAAGCCATAGCGGCGGAGTAGAGCGTGGAGAGCTCTCCCAGCGGGGAGAAACTCGGGCCCGGCGGAGCAAGCGTTGATGGCAGCAGTGAAGGAGACGCTGTGTGGCTGGATTCCCTGCTTGAGCATCTCGTAGAAGAGAGCCAGAGCCTCTTGAGATCGCCCATGTTGAGCACACACTGTGATAAGGATCGTCCAGCTAAAGACGTTCTTGGCCGGGGTTGCCTCAAAGACGAGCCTGGCCTCCTCCAAGCTCCCACATTTTCCATACATCATCACCAGATGATTGGAAACATAGACATCGGATCCCAGCCCGACTCTCCGGATCAGCTGATGGATCCGGCGACCCTCCGCTAGAGCCCCGAGCCTGGCGCAGGACTGGATTACCCTGACGCACTCCTTGAGATCCGCATCCTTGCGCTTCTGGAGCGCGTCGATTGCCGCTGCGATCTGGCCAAGCTGTTGCCGCTTTGAGAGCAGCGTGGAGAGGCGGCGAGGATGCATCCCATTCTTCTCGCCCTAAAGTATTTACTGCAAATAGCCCTAAAGACTTAAGATTCCCGCCAGTTTTTATCTTTGAATAAATTAACGGGGATAATTAATTTAATATATAGAGATAAAGAAATTAATAAAACTATAGTGTGAGTGCTCAAACGGATGGGAAATTGCAATTGACTCTAACCGTCCTTCCGCAGCACAAAGAGGAGTATTACAAGCTTGGCACCAAACACAACTACACATATACCGGATAACATCACGTCGCATCTTTGGCTAATACAAAGACTTGCACAACTTATCGGTCATACGACAATATCCCATATACCCACCTAGAACAAGAGAATCATGGTAAGCATGGAGAAACTATGGAATAAAGATAGAAGGCACCACCAATCATAAATGATCATTAGGATCCGTCCCCACAAAATAAAGAAAGCCATATTCAAGGCGATATTGAGAATGTAAATGCCGGAAAGGCAAGTTATCAGCAAGTGATGCAGGATCCTCAAACGCATCTCGAAACCTTCGAATCCATGGCTCAATCTTTTGAGCCTTGCGAACCTTATCAAGAGAAGGTAGATCTTGCTCTGCGCTTTGTGGACATTGAACATCAAGTATAGCAACCGCCGATGGCACAGAATCCTCGTCTAGAAAATCCACAGATGCTGGAATAATAGGCTCATCAGAAACATGAGAAGAAAGTGGAGAAGGAAGAGGAGCTCGAGAAAGGGCATCAGCATCAGCCATAGAACTCCCTGGGCGATGAACAACATCAAAATCATATATCTGAAGCTTTAAAGCCCACCGAGCAGCACGATCAACCAGGTTCTTCCGCTTCAATAATGAAATAACGGCAGCATGGTCACCTTCAAATAACGTCCGAGAACCATGTAGATATGCATGAAGTTTCTTGAAACCCCAAACTACCACTAAACACTCTTTCTCCGTCGTGGAGTAGTTCACCTCTGCTGGTTGTAACGTACGGCTTATATATGCAATGGGATGACGCTGACCAGGCACACTCGGGCTCTCTTACATTAACACACCTCCAAAACCAATATTATAAGCATCAACGCGCAAAATAAAAGGTCGAGTGTAATTAGGATATGCCAAAACCGGAGGAGTCGTCAACAGCTTTTTGAGATTCACAAACGCCCACTCACAATCTGAAGACCAGATGAAAGATGATGTTGATAACTTCAGCAAGGCTTGCAACGGTGCAGTGCAATCAGAAAGATGATCCACAAAACGACCAAGATACTGCACCTTGCCCAGGAAGCGCTGCACATCATTTACACACTTCAGAGTAGGGAACTTTAGAACGGCTATGAGTTTGTCAGGATCAACTTGCAAACCCTCACGAGAAATATGGTACCCAAGATAAGTTGTGTCCTTGGACCCAAACATGCACTTCGACTGCTTCAGTTTTAAACCAACATCCCGTAGCCGATCCAACACTTTACACACATCACGAACGTGCTCTGCCCACGTCCCCTCCGAGTGAATTAAGACATCATCAATGAAGTCAGTAGTCATCTCTAGCATATCACAAAGAACCTCGTCCATCATCTGCTGAAAAGTTGCTGGAGCATTGTTCAAACCAAACGGCATCACCAAGAACTCATACAAACCAAACGGTGTACGAAAAGCAGTCTTAGGAATATCTTCATTGGCCATCGGTACTTGCCAGTACCCAGAAGCAAGATCTAGCTTGGTGAACCAACGACTTTGCCCCAGACGATCCAAGAGATCAGTAGTGTGAGGAAGAGGGTACACATCCGGGATCGTCACTTCATTTAACGGAAAGGACTCCGCGACTTCCGAATAACACCTTTCTCCAACATCTCCTTGACGTTTGCACGTAAAATCTTGATCTCTTTGGGTGATTGACGACGAACAGGAACCTTGATTGGACGAGCATCCCCGATTGGAATGGGATCACGTGTGGCAATCTTGGCCCCTGACGATAGGTCAAATTCAAAGAGATTAGAATACTCCTTCATGAGCTGGTCAACAGCTGCAACACAAAGATCATCGGAGGGATCGGAAAAGGGAAGAGTAGAATAAGATGGAAACATAAGAGGAAATAGTGGGGGAACAAAAGTAATGGAAGCAGAAGTAGAAGTAGAGGGATGAAGAGGTACAAAAGTGAGAGGAATGGATGAAACATAAGGAAGTATGAGACAAGGGGGAGAAGCCTCAAAGTCACACTTGGCATGATTGCACTGCAACTAATCCATACCAAGAATGAGGTCAAAAACTTGACTCGGCACCACTCGCAACGACTGCAACTCAAGCTCGAGATCACCCACACACATAACCAAATCCGCCTCATCTCGTGCACATGCATGTGTACAACCGTTGCCATAAAGAATGAAAACTGGATCCTCCACACAACGCAAGTGTAGATGACAACGTGTGGCAACATGTCGAGCAATAAAAGATAAACTCGAACCTGTATCAACCAACATGGAGAGAAGAATAGGAGACCTCTTGTTATAAAAACAAGCTTGGAAAGTAAACACTGGATGAACCGGTGCCAAGTGAACCCCTTGATGATACTCCTGAAAGAAAGATGGAGGGGTCACTAACTTATTCGCAAGGTCCCTCCATTACTCGTGTGACTCCTCGTTTCCCGGATGCACCACAGTATCCAAACCTTCCACCGTAGCAACACCAACGGAACATTGCTAACGCCAAGGTCTCCACCCGGGAAATGGAGGTCGCCAATCCGGAAAGCGCCAACAACGCCGATAAGTATGACCAACTTCATCACACGCCCAGCAACGAACATCACGACCATGACCACGTTCTCGCCCTTGTCCTTGGACTCGAGTAGCAGCAGCATCAACCTCCATTTGAACAAGACCATCACTCATAGGAAGTGGAGTTGAAGGACGTGTAGCGAGAAGTGGAAGAGGCGACATCTCATAACGTTGTGCCAAGCGAAGAGCATCGTCAAGGGTGGCAGGAGAGTTCGCAGAAATAATACACCTTACTAAGACGTTTACGGAACGAGCAGAAATCCCACTGAAAGAAGCTATTAAGGAGCATACTGAATCTTTCCTACTACTCCAAAAATAGATATGAACGGATGAGTCTAATGCACAAGTCCGACAAGATCTTGACGAAGTGTTGGCCACAACATTCCTAGCTTGATCCGCTCCGACATATTTGGCTTCGCACAAAGCAAAAGACTTCAGAAACGAACGCCAAATTGCATCACTAACTTAGATGGCCCTTGGCGAAGATGATGCAATTGTTGGAAGGCATCATCACAATCATCGGCATATCTGAAGGCGCGTTTGAAGACGTCCAGAAGAACACTCCAATCGTCATGAGTGGCTACACTCAATCCATTATACCACTGCAATGCCGTCCCTTGGAGACATGTGGGGAACTCACGCAAACTTCGAGCATCATCCCAAGAATGATATGTGGCAATCATCGTGAAGTGATCGAACCAATGGTACACATCATCCCCATGATTCCCATGAAAGAACTCCGGCCGAACGTGAAGATTGGCACCAAGAGCAGGAGGAGTTGTACCATGTGCCGTGAATGCCGCCATCAACTGAGTTTGGTTGTTCAATTGCAAGCACATAGCATCAAGCAATTGAACCAACTGCTGCTCTAGAGTCAAAGGAGGAGATTGCGGATTGGCCATGAAGATGAACGCAAAAGAAAGAGCAAAAGAAGAGAAATGAGAAAAAGCTGGAAAGAAATGGTAGATCTAGACAATGCAAAAAGCTAGATCTAAACCAAAATCATGAAAGGAAATAACAAAAGAAAGGAAATGGAAAAAGCTGGATCTAGACAATGCAAAAGCTATATCTAAACCGAAATCCCAAATCCAAGCACTCCCCAGGGACAATCAAAGGTGCCCCTCACTTCCACTAATGTGAGTGCATGGAATATAGAAAGGGAATACAGAAATGTGCATATCAATTAGCCCAAAAACCTTAGCTTATATACAGGAGCAAGTGGTCCGGATTGAAACCAATCCGACGACTACCAAAATCCCACTACGCTAATATTAGTATACGGCATCGTAACCGTACACTTGGTCCTCACAATATGATATATTTATAATAATTAATAAATTTTATTCTTGCATTTTTATATTATAAATTATATCTATCACCAAATATACCTTTATTATCCACTATGTTATTGAATAAATCTCTATTAAGTTTTATGCTCATTTATTTGGAATTGTGAGTGCCTGGAATATGGAAAGGGAATACAGAAATATGTATATCAATTAGCCCAAAAACCCTAGCTTATATACAGGAGCGAGTGGTCCGGATTGAAACCAATTCGATGGCTACCAAAATCCCACTACGTTAATATTAGTATACGGCATTATAGCCGTACACTTGGCCCTCACATCATCCCTTCTTCTCGGAATAATGGAAAGCTATCAGGGTTCTTTTGTAGATGGGCCGCAATCTAGAGGAACGTCAGGAGGAGGCATCGGCGGATCTGTAGACAGCATTAACTGCTCCTGATCCCTTTGTATGAAGTGTTTCAACCGCTACACATGCACAATCTCCAGAGGATCGGCTTGCTGGATGTCATGCCGAACCTCATAAACTTGCAGTCCAACTTGCCACAACACCCGATATGGTCCTTTCCACTGTGCAAGGAGCCCCTTAGATAAACCACGTACCGTAAGATGAGGAAAACGCACTAACACCAAATCATTGTAAGGAACCAACTCTCCAAGATGTCGTAGGCTAAAGGATCCCCAAAAGCATGACCAAAATGACAAAGAGTTCATCAGATGGGACCGAGTCGAAGATCGAATCCAAGACTGACTCTGAGACCGAGTTCGAGATAGAGTCCGGGATCGAGCCCAAGGCCGAATCGGAGACCGAGTTCGAGACAGAGTCCGAGATCCAAATCGGGTCCGAGACCGAGTCTGAGGTTGGGTCCGAAGTCGAGTCCGAGATCGGGTCCGAAGTCGAGTCCGAGACCGAGTCCGAGGTCGGGTCTGAGATCGAG